CGCCCCCCCCACCCCCCAGTCCAATGGGGAGGTGAACTCAAAGCTCCCAGGGCTTCCCAGCCCTGGGCCAGGAGCTGTCAGAACTTCTCTCGTGGCTTCCCGCCCGCTGCCCGCCCGCCGTGTGATGGGCACAAGCCTGGGTGTGTGGGGGAGGGCACAGCCCAGTGGCAGCTGACGTTCAGAGCCCCAGGGGTGGACGGGTGACCACTGGTTTCAGGCAGCCGCAGCCAGGCCGGCTGGGCTCCTTTAAGAACTGCCCAAGCCCGGGCTCAATGCCAGGGATGGGACGGGTGGTGCTGCCAGGAGACAGGCCAGCTGGGCTCTCAGCCCATGACTCCTTCTAGACCGGCCCATAGGAGCCTGGAGGGCCCAAGAGCCACCCCCTGGACAATGGGGAACTCCGTCCCTGAGAGGGGCATTTGCACCCTTGGGGCCTCTCCACAGGCAGGCCTCCCCTCACCAGTGCCCGCCCTCTCCAGAGAGGCAGGGATTCAGCTCTAAAAATACCAGCGCAGGAGGTGAGCTGTGGGGTCCTCGGGAGCCCAGGAGGCCCCGTTGCTTCTCAAATTAATCTTGAAGCTGGCACATCCCATGAGAGGCCCAAGGCGGGTGTGGGAGCTCCCAGGCAAGCCCGGTCTGGCAGCCCCAGAGCCGCCTCCAACCCCTCCCAGAGTGTCTCCCCAAAGTGCACCCCCTTAGCAGGTGGGCACACTGAGGCGCAGGCAGACAGCAGGGGACAGGAGCCTCCTACCTTCCATCCTGCCGAGGTCCTGGGAGCGGAGTCAGCTCTGCAAGATAAGGCGGGGGTGGGGCTGGTGAGCGAGCGCCCGTCCAGCCACAGCCACAGCCACAGCCGCAGGTGCGCCAGCCCTGGCTTGCCCTCGGAGAGGGCCGGTGGGGGCAGGAAGGCCCAGGAGGCTGGGTGACCTTGGGAAAGTCATCTTTCTTCCTTGCGCTTCCATTGCCTCACCTGTCAAGGGCAGCAGCCCCCTCCCGCCCCACCAGCCACTGTGGAAACAGGGCGGGGTCCTCTCCAGGCACCTTGACAACGCTCCCCAGGGCAGAGGGCGGGGAGAGCTGCCGGCAGGGGGAGGGGGGACAGGAGCTGTGTGTCCTCATCTCTGAAGGGGTTTGGAAGAGGACGCTCAGAGGGACAGGGAAGTCTGGAGGGAGGAAGCTGTGTTCACATAGGAATAGCCCTGCAATTTTCCAATGAGGGGTTCCCAGGCTCCCCCACACACAGGACCAACTCCCCCCATGTGGCCCCTGCCCCTCACCCCCTAGAGGACCTTGCTTCATTACCCCCTTATCCCCCGAGCATGGAATCAACCCCAACCCCTCATGGGACCCCACGACTTCCACAGCCCCCAGGCACCTCCCTCACCCTCCCCTTCCCGTCCGTCTCTTCAGAATTGCTGCCTATACACCTGTGGCCTTCACCCACCAGCCCTCCCCAAGGCCACCTGCAACCATCACAGCCACTCTTGCCTTGACCTTTGACTCTTGACCCTTGGCCACCATTCCTCCTGCCTGGGACCTCACCTCCGGCCCCTACTTCACCCTCTCACTATGGGCTTCCTGGGACCCGCCATCCTGCCCAGCCAGCCCAGGGCGCTCTTGCCAGCTTCGGAGACCTGCTGACTCTGACAGCCGGCTGTGTCCGGCTAGAAGCCCTTCTCTCACACCCGCCCCATCCTGCATAAGCAAGTCCCACCCTCATTCTCCCGAACCTCAGATCCGTGTCCTCACGGCCACTTCTTTGTTCCAAGCAGGGGCCAGCCCAACCTCCATACCCACCAGCCCATCTGTAGGATTCCCCCACAAGCTGAAGACCACATCACTCTCCTGCTTAAACCCTTCCACGTGTGGCCACTCAGCTCCCACGATAAAGCCTCTCCCCCTCCCCACCTCCCTGCAACTTTATCAGCTGCTGCTTAAACCGAGCTCCCTCTCCCACCGTGGCCGTGTCCCACCTCCAGGCCCAGCTCAGGTTGCACCCAGTGCCCGAATGCCCTTCCCTAAGGTGTTCATGTTTAGGACTCACTTCAGGTGTCACCTCCTTCAGGAAGCCCTCCTGGACTCTACCCTCCACTCCTACACTGACAGGTACCTCCTCTGAACTTCCCCTGGCATCCTACAGCCACACACCACCCACCACACTCTATTGGACCGCTCTGTGGTAGTGCAGGCCTGTGTTCCCCACCAGACTGGGCCTGGCCCGGGCTGGTCAGAGGGCGGGGGGCCTTACTCCGTCCCCAGGGCCCTCCTGGGAGGGAACTGAGGCTTGAAGAGGATCGACTTGCTCCAGGGCTGGCTAGGTTCCAACCCAGGGCTGCCTTTTCTGCTGCTCGCGCCCAGCACCCAGTAGGTCCTTAAGCAGCCGCCTGTGGGGCATGAGTTGGCCTCTTCCCTGCTGAGTATGCGGAAGGAAGGGCAGCAGCTGCCAACACTGCTCGGCAGCTGGGGGGGGGGGTCCCCCTAGGCCAGGAACAGCCTGAGTGACCCCATCCTGCCCCACCCCCTCCCAGTAACCTAAGCCCCACTGTCCTGCTGGAACCTGCTAACCCCACCTCCTTGGTCCAAAATAACTTGGGTCGTGAGGAGGCCTCGCAGGGGTCAGGGGTCAGGATAGGGTTAGGTTACGGGCTCAGCACCCAGGTCTTACTGGGCCCCTGGATCAGGGCCGCAGGGACTCAGTATGTAACCGGGTGGTCGGCCGAGGGGTCTGGAGAGCGGAGGTCAAAAGGGTCTGGACTCAGTTACGAGGCGAGGCCAGGGCAAGACCAAGGTCTCCCGTCTCTTGACCAAGAGCAGCCATTTTGGTGGCTGGCAACCAACTGGGGTTCCAATCCCAACCCCATCACTCAGCTGTGTGACCTTGGGCAGCGGTGTCCCCTCTCTGGGCCTGCACCCCAGACCCCGTCCCCCTGCTGCTGCTGAGTCCTGAGTGGGTGGCTGAGCAGTACAGGCCCCTGTGCTGCCGCAGGGCTCCCACAGGGCCCCTGCCCTTTCAGAGGCTGGGGCAGGGGGCCAACACCCAGGGGCCTCCTGTGCCCAGCACTCAGTGATGTGACAGGACAGTCCACCAATCACAAAGGCTGCCCCACCCAGATCCTTGGGGCGGGGAGTCAGGTCACAGCCCCCTGCCAGGGCCCCAGCTGGGACATGCCAAGGACAGGAACCTGGAGCCCCAGGGGTATGGGCTGGGACAAAGGGGTGACTGTCTCCCAGGCTGGGAAGGGCTGCAACGCACACACATCCACAAAGAAGCACAGAGTGCGGCGCGCACCCCCGAGCAGAGTCTGGGGGTGCAGACAGGCAGACACACACAGGGCACAGCCAGGGACACACAGAGCCCCGCGAACCCCGAGGAGACCCTGGCGCGCACCGAGGCGCATTCCCCGGGTGCCTGCGCTTCCCCGCCCCCCGCACAGGCGCGTCCCCCCACGCGCGCAGACGGACACATGGGCACACACCTACCTGGGGGTGGGGTGCGGGTGGGCGCTGGGGCCAGTGCGTGCCCTGCCCGTCCTCGCAGCCACCCGCCCGCAGAGGCGACTATTTATAAGGCTGTCAGCAGCGCGCGGCATGCCGGGAGCAGCTCCGATCGCAGGAGGGAGGGAGGAGGGGGAGCGCAGCCAGGCAGGGAGGGGGCTGGACCAGAGCGGGGCCCTGACGGGAGATCCGAGGGGACTGGCGCCCTCCACCGCACCGACTGCTCCGGGGGCTTCCGTTCCCGCGTCACCCACTGTGCCCACATCACTGCGGGGGGTGGGACTGGGGTCCCAGGTGACAGCGGGGGAAACTGAGGCCCAGGGAGGAATGGCTCTTTGCACAAAATCCCACAGCAAATTGGTAGCAGGGAGAGGCCAGATCAGGGAGGGAGGACTGAGGCATGGCTTCTGGGGCTTCGCTGGCCACGCCAGTCCCCAGCCCCTTCTCAGACCTGCCCCGAGGCCCCTGGGCCAAGGCCCACGCGGAATGGAGGGGGTTCCAGGAACTCCTCTGGGACGCAAACTCCCCAGGACCCCAAAGACCATCCACAAAACCCTCTCCCAGCTGGTGGTTGTGTAGATGATTAAAAATCCTAGCCCTGCCCTAGCCGGTTTGGCTCAGTGGATAGAGCGTCAGCCTGCGGACTGAAGGGTCCTGGGTTCGATTCCGGTCAAGGGTACATGCCTGGATTGCCGGCTTGATCCCCAGTAGGGGGCGTGCAGGAGGCAGCCAATCAATGATTCTCTCTCATCATTGATGTTTCTCTCTCTCTCTTCCTCTCCCTTCCTCTCTGAAATCGATAAAGATATGTTAAAAATAAATAAATAAAAATAAAAACCCCGGCCCTGCCAGGCAACTCCCAACGAGGCGAGCGCGAGGATGTGGCTATTCAGAATGCTGTCCATGATGGGGGACCGGGGTCGATGGTCCAGAATAAGAACAGCGCCCCATAATGAGCACTCACTGTGGGCCGGGTGCTGGGCAGGGAGAGCACAGGCCGTAGATGGGTAGTTTCTTAGCAACAACTGCCGCCTAGACTCCAGGAGGCTGGGAGCTAGTCCCAGCTCTGCCACCTGTGACATCAGACGAGCTCTTTACCCCTCGGGACCTGAGCTTCCCCAGCTGTGGGAGGGGCAGGCGCTGGGTCGGCGGGTCTGCCTTCCAAGTTGTTCAGAGGCCCTCCCAAAGCCGTAGGCGGCTGTGCACAATGGCACCTCCTTGGGGGAAAGCAAACTGATGAAGTCAGTCAACAATCTAAACATGCAGGGTCATGTGTGTAAGAACTATTCCTCGAAATTCTTTTCTTGCACTTTAACATCTCTGGCATGTGCTCTCTTATCATCACATCGATGGCATCTCGAAGGGTGTGCAGTGAGGCACAACCGGGAGGGCGGGTGCACATGACCCCCCAGGGGGAGGTGGGACTTGTGCTTCTTAAAGGCTTCCCCATGCTTTTTTTTTTTTTTTAATACGACAAGCATCTGTTATTTTCTATATAAAACACTTTAAACACAGATGCACCTTGAGGACATTATGCTAAGTGAAATAAGCCAGTCACAACAAGACAGATACTGTCTGACTCCACTTACAGGAGGAACTAACGTCATCAGATTCATAGAAACAGAAAGTGGAAGGATGGTCCCCTGCGGCTGAGGGGCAGGGACGTGGGAGTTGGCGTTCAGTGGATAGCGTTTCAGATCTGCAGGATGGAGTCCCGGAGCTCTGTTTCCTAACAAGGCATGCTGTTAACCCGCTGGACTGCACTCTTAAAAACCCTTACCTGCTAAATAAATCTTATGTGCTTTTTGCCACAATAAAAAAATAAATTTAAAAATTGTGAAAACCTATTTTAAGTACCTGTTTTAATTATTTCTTTTGCATATGACCTATGGATTTTCTATCAATCCTGGAATATTAAAGCTTCAGGATTTTTTTTCTCCGCTCTAAACTAAAGAAAAAAAAAGGTGGGAGAGAAGAAGAGAGGCAGGGAGGGATGAAAGAGGGAATGAAGAAAGGAGAAGATGGAAGGGAAAACGGAAGGAGGGGAGGGGAGGGGAGGAGGGAAGGGAGAGAAAGAACAAAATCGCATGGAGGAAACACCTGGGAGGGTATACCCTAGGCCAGCGTTTCTCAACCTGTGGGTCGCGACCCCTTCCACAGGGGTCGCCTAAGACCATCCTGCATATCAGATATTTACATTATGATCATAACAGTAGCAACATTACAGTTACGAAGTAGCAATGAAAATAATGTTATGGTTGGGGGTCACCACAACATGAGGAACTGGATTAAAGGGTCGCGGCGTTAGGAAGGTTGAGAACCACTGCCCTAGGCTGTTAACAGGTAACAGGACTGGGCAATGCCCTCCCTTTTTATCTTATATCATTTGTATGGCTAAAGTTATAACATTAAAAAAAAACACCTAAAAATATAACCATATAAAATGAAACCCATTTTTAAAAACACTTTAAAAATATTCTGGTTAAAGAAAGAACCCCTTACATGACAATTCATAACAGTAGCAACATTAAAAACAAAAACAAAAACAGTAGCAACATTACAGTTACGAAGTAGCAACGAAAATAATTTTATGGTTGGGGGTGACCACAACATGAGGAACCGCATTAAAGGGTCGTGGCATTAGGAAGGTTGAGAACCACTGCCCTAGGCTGTTAACAGGGAACAGGACTGGGCGATGCCCTCCCTTTTTACCTTATATCATTTGTATGGCTGAAGTTATAACATTAAAAAAAAACCCTAAAAATATAACCATATAAAATGAAACCAATTTTTAAAAACACTTTAAAAATATTCTGGCTAAAGAGAACTCCCAGGCTAGAAAATGAGCCAGCACCGGGGGATGGGGCTGGGTCGGCCTCACTCTGAGTGTCACAGGGAGGTGAGGGGCTGCGAGGGGCCTGGCTGGGCTGCTGAGCATCTGCAGGAAGCAGCGGGGGTGGCCCCTCGGGAAGCACCTGCTGGGTTTGCAGCTGGTGGGAGATGTGCCAAGGAGGGGAGGGGATCACGGGGTGAGGGGGAGACACAGGAGTGCAGGGGGCTCTGGACCTTAGCTGAGGAAGTGGAAGTGGCTTTGTCTTGGCCACAGCGGGGAGCAGGTGAAGGATTCAGAGCAAAACAGGACGGTGATGAGGTGGGCTCAGGAAGATAACTTTGACAATGAGTATACTTGTCTGGGGGGGCGGGGGGAGGGCTCCGAGGGGATGAGTTTGTGGAGTTGAGGACCAGGCCCCAGACCTCTTGCCCTCACCAAAGTCCTACCTCCTGATGCTAAACCGAACTTTCGGAGGGTCCACCCAAGCAACCCACCTTCTCTTGAAGCACTGCTGGGCCTCCCTCCATGCCCACCCGAGGGCAGGCAGGTCCCCCGAAGCCTCTGCACAGAGCCGGAGTGCACCGTGTTCCATATCTCCATTCCCACAGGGCCTGAGGTTCCCCACGCATGACTTCCCACACGCCCACCGCCACCACTGCCGCAGGCCCGTGACGTCCCAGCCGCCTGCCTGTCCCACTGCCGTTCAAGCAAGAATGGCCTCTCCAAGCAAGAGGGATGGAGCCGGGCCCACTCGGGCTGGCACGCGTGGCCTTTTGCCATCTGGCCCCAAGTGGCTCCTCTCCCACTGCTCCCGCCTCCCTGCCTCCCGGGAGAGGCTGTGGGTCCCACCACTGCGCATCCTTCGGGCCATTCTTCCCACCTGACCTCCCTCCCTCTTCAATTGCACCTGAGAGAGCGCCTGGCACGCGGCTGCTCACTGGAATGTGTACGTGAATTAGAGATTAGAGCCCAATGCAGCGCGCCCTTCTCTCCTCCCAGAGCCCGGCCCCCCATCCCGGCTGGCCCGGTGCCCAGGAGAGCTCTCTCCCCGTCCCCAGCAGGCCGCCTGCCCTTGTCTCACAGTCACCCTTTGTTAGGCCTCTGCTCCCAAGGGTATCTTATCTGCCTAAACAGGTTGTAATCTCCCAGAGTCACGGACCCCCTTCCTCCTGCCAACCTGGAGCTGTAAACAAGGCCTTTCACTCAACTGCTGCTCACCACACCCTCCCAGGGCTGCAGCCCCGCCTGGCTCCTGCCTGCTGGGCCTGCAGGAAACGTGGGCTCCCAGCCCTCAGCATCCCCAGGCCCTTGAGCCAACCTCTGACCCACCACCTGCAATCTCCTCCTGAGCCCTGTCCCAGCCTCCTCTCCTCCCCACCCCCACCCCCACCCCCAGAAACTTGCCCCAAACTCTGCAGGACTCTTCCCCATCTCCCAGGCCTCAGAAGCACATCACCCACCCTAAAGCTCTCTCACAGCGTCTGCATCATCGTCTTTGGGGCCCTTACTCCCGGGGTGGCCTCCCCAGGGCCTGAGCTCCTTGGAGCAGTGTGTGATCCTGGAACTGGGCTGGGAGAGGGCAAGTGACTTACCCAAGGTCGCAGAAGCAGGGGGAGGCAGGACTGGAAAAGCCAGATGGGCTTGCCTTGGGAAACCCGCACCTCCCCAGCCCCCTGAGCAGCCAGCTCTCCGCCCAAGCTGCAAAGTGCATGACTCACTGGCCAGCTGAAAAGCTGGCTGTCCTGCTGGTGGGCGAGCTCCCCACCTGGAGGGCCTGGGCCCTGTCCTACGGCGGCCCAGAGCCCAGGGCCAGAGCGCCTTGCTCAACGGGGACACACGGGAGCTGGAGCTGGAGCTTAAGTGCATTTATTCCTGTACAAATCATTACAAAACCACATCTGGGGGAGTCACCGGCCCCCACTCCCCACCCCATGTGCAATGGCTTGTGCCGGCCTCCTCCTCCTCTACCTGGCCCCTCCCATTCCGCAACCTCCTCCAGGAAGCCCTCTGGTCTTCCCTTCCAGGCTTCAGAAGAGCAAGGGGCAAACCCACCCCGCTGAGGCCCAGCAATAAAGTGCCTGATACAGAATGAGGGGGGACAGGACCCTGGCGACACAGCTCCCGCCCCCCCCGGAGAGCTTTCCCAGGCCCAGCTGGAGGGAGACTCAGATGACTCCAGCAGCTGCAGGCAAAGGGGCTGCTTGAAACCTCAGTTGGGCGGGGGTCCCCCCGTCTCAGCCCCAAAGGCTCCTCCAACA